GTAAGAGCGACTTTCCACTCGCCTAAACATTCAATACTTTCCTCATCTTCTTTCTGAAAGATTAGTTATTAATATCCACATCCTGGTTGTGTGTCTCAAAGCCAAAACCATCACTTTCGCACACATCACCAGTTAGAGATATGGAAGGGGCAGATATTTGGTGTAGTGGTTAACTTGCCACTTGGGATGACTGCATTCTGTACAGAAGTGTTTGGTTCAAGTCCCAGCTTCTCCACTTGTGATCTAGCTTTCAGTTAATGCACACCCTGGGAACAGTTCCAATCTTTGGATCTCCGTCACCTGTGTGGGAAACCCAGATGGAGTTTCTGACTTCTACAGTGTCGGGGTGCACTTAAATAAGAGACTGCTAGAATTATGATTCCTTATGAAGGACTACACTATTGTAACAAAATGGGAAAAATCTGACGGGGGTGGGAGTTTGGGGGGAATCAAAATTGAACCACACGGTTCAAAATTCAAGATTAAAATTTATTTAAAAAAGGAAAAAGCAAGTACTCCCTGCAATGCTTACAACTGTTGTGTATCTGGAGGTGACTATGGGCCTTCAAGCTACTTGATCATGAATACAAAGACATTACCAAGGTAATGGTATTGGTATACATATATATTTATATACACATAAACATATGCACACTCCATATGTACTGTTATAAAATACTATATACACCAGATATACTGTATACCAGTGTGTGTGTGTGTGTGTGTGTGTGTGTGTGTACACACGCCATATGTACATGCGAGTGCATTAAATTTCACCTTTGGTCCTTCTGTTCCTAAGAAGATTTAAGGGATATTTTAACCCTTCCTGCAAAAAAAGAGAATTATGAAAAGCATATTTAAAGAAGTTAAATAGCGTAGTGGTTAAAGTCCTTGCCTTGCACTTGCCAGGATCCCATATGGGTGCCGGTTCTAATCCCAGCGGCCCCACTTCCCATCCAACTCCCTGCTTTTGGCCTAGGAAAAGCAATCGAGGACGGCCCGAGGCTTTGGGACCCTGCACCCGCGTGGGAGACCCCAAAGAGTTCCTGGCTCCTGGCTTCATTTCGGCACAGCACTGGCCGTTACGGTCACTTGAGGAATGAATCATCGGACAAAAGATCTTTCCCTCTATCTCTCCTCCTCTCTGTATATCTGCCTTTCCAATAAAAATAAATAAATCTTTAAAAAAAAAAAAAATGGGGCCCGGCATGATGGCGCAGTGGTTAAGGTCCTCGCCTTGCATGCTCGGGATCCCATATGGGCGCCGGTTCTAATCCCGGCAGCCCCGCTTCCCATCCAGCTCCCTGCTTGTGGCCCGGGAAAGCAGTGGAGGACGGCCCAAAGCTTTGGGACCCTGCACCTGTGTGGGAGACCTGGAAGAGGCTCCTGGCTTCGGACCAGCACAGCTCCGGCTGTTGCGTTCACTTGGGGAGTGAATCATCGGACGGAAGATCTTCCTCTCTGTCTCTCCTCCTCTCTGTGTATCTGACTTTCCAATAAAAGTAAAATAAATCTTAAAAAAAAAAAAGATGTTAAGTAGTGACATAACACACTAAAGAAGTTTGCTGTCCTCCTGGGTGGCCTATCAATTATTGAGTAAGATGAAGACGTTGAACTTTGTCTTGGGTAATCTCTAGCGTGGGGAAATAATTGTTGCTGAGTGTTATGATGCCATATAATACTTGGATAACATGAAATGACACCAGGGAGGAATTTGACCTTTGTGAGAATTTAGTGGGAATTTTTCTGGTAAATTTCCAAAGCTTGCTGGATTAGCAAATGTACCTGGTAGCTGATGGGTTAAAATAACTAACCTTTATTTGCAAAGGAGCTGTTGCAGGGTTTGTCTCCAAACCAAGCCTATTGGAGGTATGTTTATAAAACAAAACCTGCAGAGATTACTTCCTACGGCAGGTAGATCACGGTCTGCTCCAGGCCAGGCATTTGCCGCTTATTTACTCACCCCTTGTTCTTGTTTTACAAAACCACCAGACACTATCTTAGCAAAGATAAAAGTGGATACTTCCTTGTTCAGTTCATCTTGTACAGTATTGTCTTTCTATTGCAGTTCTTTCTTATTTGAATTCATTTAAAAGTATCCTCCATCCCCAGTAAGAGAGCTCCTCTTAGTTAACAACACATATTCACCCTCACCAGTAACAATCTCCGTGTACTGCTCGGCTGGAGGCTGAATTCTTGAACTCACCATGACTCATTTAGACAAATCTAGCTCCAGCTCTGGAGCAGAGGTTGGTGTCAACTTCCTCCTGAGTCACCAGGCGTGGTCAGGCAGGATGGGGAAAGTGATGCCAGAATGCAATTGGGAACCTCTTAGAAAGGACTGCATGCTTGGTTGGCAGCCAGCAGTGTCTAGTAGACTTATAAACTTGCCATTTTCAAGGTCATCATTTTTCTTGTTTCTCAAATACAAAAGTTGGAGTAGCAGTTTGGGCAACTGGCTAAAACACACTTGACCCATATCAGGGTGCCTGGGATGGATATTTAACTCTGCTACGGCTTCCTGCTAATGTGTATCCTGGGAGGCAACAGTGATGGCTCCTTCCAAGTAGAAGATATGGACTGAGTTCCAGCTGAGTTTGACCTGGCTTAGCTTTAGCTGTGGATAACTGGGGAACGAGCCAGTAGGTGGGAATTCTCTCCCTCTCTCTGTTTCACTTCTCTCTACCCCTCTAATTGATACATTTTACAAAAACATTAACAAAAATTTTTAAAGTACATAAAGTACAATCAACTTTTTTCAAAACATAGACACAATATTGGCCCTTGATAGATGTGTTCCCTTCAATCAGAGCTCCTTAAAGTCATGCGGTACACTTGGTTCTTCTGAATGTACTTGCCACCCAGCCTAGGGGCTTGACAGGACAGACATGGCTTAAACAGTTATGGAAGAAATGCAGTTAACTTATTTTTTGAAAGACCTCAGACTTTGTATAAAACAAACAAAACTCCAAACTTACTAAGTTTTGCAAAGGAGCTCATTCTCCCCCGTGTGCCACAAACCCGTTTGTTTTTAGTGTTGGCATTTCAATTTTACTTGCTTTGATAAAGTTTCTAATGACCTAAAAACATTCAATTCTGCTTTTCCATTTTTTTTTTTAAGAGTAACAGTGGTTTTTCTTGTTATTCCTGATAGGTCATGCACAACATAAGAATGTTAATTTTCAAATAAGTTGCCTATTCCTGTTTTAATGTTTAAAGCTTAAGGCTTTTTGCTGTTGTTTCCACCCACTTCCAGAATAAGGTGGAGGAAGAATTGACAGGAAATGAGCAAGTGCTTTGACAGGACTCATGTATGTTAGCTACAGGTGTTTAATGCATTTTAACACTATTTGTATGCATTTGTCTTATGGGTTTTGCATACCATCACTTTTGTGGGTTGATTGTTAGTCCCATTTAAGGTATAAACTAAAGCTGTTAAGAAGCAAGTGGGGTTTTTTTTGTTTTTGTTTTGTTTTTCCTAATTTTTGTTATAGATTATTTATTGCTGCTGTAACAAGTTACCAAAGTTCATTGTTTAAAGTAGCAAAAATTAATTTGTTAAAACTCCCTTAAAGTCAGAAATACAAAATAAGTGACATTGTAACCACCGTTGGGACCTAGCAAGTGAGGTTAACACCTGCAATGCTAGCATCCCACATGGATGCTGGTTCATATCCTGGCTGTCCCACTTCCCCTCCAGTTCCCTGCTAATGACCTGGGAAAGCAGTGGAAGATGGCCCTAGCGTTTGGGCCTCTGCTATTCATGTGGAAGACCTAAGGGAAGTTCCTACCTCTTGGCTTCTGCCTGACACAGCCCTGATGATACTATGGCCATCTAGGGAATAAACCAGCTGAAGGAAGGTCTCTCTATATGTGTATGTCTCTGAATCTTCCTTTCTATAACTCTGACTTTCAGAATGAATAAATACATCTTTTTAAAAAAAATGTGTTGCATTGGCTAAAACTCATATGTGACTAGGAATAAGAATAGGAATATGTTTCTTCTGGATCCTCCAGGAAGAATCCATTCCCTTACATTCACAATGTCTAAAGGCCACGTGTATTAGTGGCTGGAGTCCTGTATGAATGGCTCCCTCCTCAGCCTTCAAAGCTTCAGCCTTCAGATTGTTCTCTGATACTTAAGCCTCCTTTCCCTTTTTGATCATGTAGAGTTCACCCAGCTAATCCAGAATAGTCTCTACAACTCATGATCATCAATTCAATTTTATCTGTAAATCTCCTTTAGATAAATTAATTGATTTATGGATTCTAGAGATTAGGTCATAAAGGCATCATTTTTGTTTTCTACCCAAAACAGAGACCCGTACAGGGTCCCAAAAAACTTACCGTCCTAGTCGACTTTGGGCGAAGGGAGAAAGATTTGCTCCGTCTCGTTCTGGAGGCTCACAGATTCCCTACAGTGGCAGAGTCCCAAGGAAACATGAGTTAGCACAGGACTAGAAGCAGGGAGGGTGTGCATATCTTTTTATGTCTATGTGGTCCCTTAAAGCTACCAGCATCTGATCATAGGAGATCAATTGTATTAGCCCAGTCTAATCCTGTCACTTCTCAAGAGACACCACCTTCAAACACAGTAAGTTGATTATTTCTCCACCTTCTTAGTACCATATCTTATGACTTTGGGATTTAGAGTCATGCAGGAGTTCAAAGCCATGGTAACCTTCATCAAGTTTCTAGCCTTCTATACAGACAAGAAAAAGTCTTTGCCTTTTTTGGTGTGTCTTTCGGTATTTCTGTCTTTGGTATTACTGAGTTTTGCAACAAAAAAACCTAATGGGATCTATGCTTATGTGGACAAACTGTTTTGAGAGGTGTTCAGCAATAATGCAGACTGACAATACGATGCTATAGTAACATAGTGAGAGACAGGGAGCAGCACTTTGACAATCAGGATATATGAGTTTGAGACGAAGTTTTAGAAACTCGTCCCTCAGTGATTTGTTGAATGAACTCATTGATCAGCTGACTTCCTCTTTCAGGCTTCTGCGCAGAGATACGTCGTGAAGAATTATTTCTACTATTACCTGTTCAGATTCTCTGCTGCCCTGGGACAAGAGGTGTTCTACATCACATTCCTTCCCTTCACTCACTGGAACATTGATCCATATTTATCCAGAAGGCTGGTCATCATATGGGTGGTAAGTGTCACTATTACTACTTACCCTCTTTTACTACTGCCTCTTCTGAGACAGTTACCTGCTTTGTTTTCCCAAGTATTTTACACATAGGTGACTATTTTTTAAACCACCGAGAGCTGAGTCTGCTGCTGATTTACCTTGGAAAATTTAAAAGCTACAAATGCAACTTGCTTTGTTTGGAGAAAATAAATGTACAGGTGATTTCGTGTCCCTGGAATATTCCTTCTCGTGTGAGATGATAGCTAGAAGAGAGCAAATGTGATGAGCAGAGAGGAGACTCCTTACTCAGGACTGCAGGGGTGGACAGGCCATCCTCCTGAGAGGCCCGTTTTTCCTTTACTACTTTCTTCTTAATTAGCATGTAATCACTATTTGCATATTAACTATGTAAAATTGTATATTATTTGTATAAAAATTAGCACCTATTTGTGGAGGACAGTATATTTCCAAACTCTAGCTATCTATGTGTGTGTGTGTATATATATATATGTATATATATCATATATATTGATCAAATTGATAATTTGCATTGCAGTTTCCTTATAATTTGTTTGCTTAGAGCCTTCAGCCTCTTTTCTTCTAGTTCTATATAAAATACACAATAGGTTGCTGTAAATCATTGTCGTCCTACTCTCAAGAGGCCCATTTTAGACCATGGCGGGGGGCAAGCCAATTAGGGGGGCAGTGAAGACTCCCCTACAGGGCCGCTGCTCCCACTGGTGAGACTGAGAGCTGGGCCAGAGGGCAGATCAGGCCGCACGGGACTACAATATTCATTGGCCTGCATGTGAGCTGGGTTAGCCAGGCTGGGCTGAGTGACCCTATCCACTGATGCATGCAGGAGGCAGAGCAAGTACAGGCGGGTCAGGATTTGCCACAGCATCAGTTGGTAAGTGCCAGGAATAGGGACAAGTCCTGTCAGGCTAGACTGCAGTACCACATGGAAGGATCAAGAACTGGGACTGGGAGTGGCCTGGTAGATAAGCTGTCTGTGAGCACCTCTCTGATGGGCAATAGCTCCCACTGGTGAGCATGAGAACCAGGACTAGGGACAGCCTTGGTTAGACAGGCGGTAGCACCCATTGGCATAAGTGTGTGCTGGATAGTGAATTCAATGGGGCTGAGCTATGCTGCAGCACCCCCTTGATGTGTACGAGAACCGAATGGGATGCAGGACAGACTGGACCAGTCTGTTGCACGTAGCAGCAAGTACAGGAACCATGGCTGGGGGCAGGCGTGGTCTGGGTTATCAGAGGTCACTCTGTCCAGGCTGCAGATTCCACTGGTGTGAATGAGAGCTGAGTGTGCGGTGGGCAAGGTTGGGCTGAGCTACAGCATCCATTGGTAAGAGATGGGGCTGGAGTCAGGACTGACCCGTGTCAACTGCAACCACCCGTGTGTGTGTAGGCTGGTGTATGTAATAGGCTGAGCCAGACCTTGCACCGGCTAACACACAGAAGAGTCAGGTCTGTGGTCACTTCAGATGAGTTTTCTTTGGGGACCTCTCAACTGAACTGCTAGGCTCAGAACTCCACCACGGGAGAATCACAGGATCTTTGGTCTGACTGTGGAGTTCTTATGTCACAACTAGGCCTCTTCAGTTGCCTAGATAGCACAGTAGATGGCCTAGCCAGATGAACATGGACATCCAGTATCACAGCAGAGGATGGGGGGGGGTGGGGCAGAACAAATTGGATGACTCTCCCAGCCAAGCACTGACAGCAACTATCTGGGTGAACGAAGACTCTGAGATGAACTATGTCAGCCAATGGACACTGGAAGTATTTCCTCATCTTTGGAGCAATGAAATCAACAGCGTTTCAGAACTAGTGACACCACTTGAGGAGGACCCTTGGAGCCTGTTCCACATGAGGGACCCCGGGATGATGTCAGGTGGCCATTCCCCGTCCCCAGGTGCTGATGCAGTTAGGATGCTGAGTGCATCTTCTCCCCTTATCTTCCCCCTCCCCCCCGGATATAGCAAGAAGAAAACAAAAATTCGAAACAATGGTCTCATCCACTTTCCCCTAGTCCTCAACGTTTCCCAACCCAGTCAGTGGTTCTCATGGACATGGATCCTTCTCAGCTATGTAAACATCACAAAAAAAAGAAATCTGTAAAAATAAAGCTTGCCTTTCCAATAAAAATAAACCTTTAAAAAATCCATTTTTATTTTATTTTATTTTTTTTAAGATTTATTTTTATTATTTTTTCATTGGAAAGGCGGATATACAGAGAGGAGAGACAGAGAGGAAGATCTTCCGTCCGATGATTCACTCCCCAAGTGAGTGCAACGGGCCGATACTATGCCGATCCGAAGCCAGGAGCCTCTTCCAGGTCTCCCACGCAGGTGCAGGGTCCCAAAGCTTTGGGCCATCCTCAGCTGCTTTCCCAGGCCACAGGCAGGGAGCTGGAAGGGAAGCGGGGCTGCCGGGATTAGAACCGGTGCCCATATGGGATCCCTGGTGTGCAAGGCGAGGACCTTTAACCACTTGCGCCACCGCGCCGGGCCCAAAAAATCCATTTTTAGTAAAATTTGATGAAAATGTAAAACTAGAAGTTGTTGGGCCTGGCGCAGTAGCCTAGCAGCTGAAGTCTCGCCTTGAATGCGCTGGGACACTATATGATCACTGAATCTAATCCCAGTGGCCCCTTTTCCTATCCAGCTCCCTGCCTGTGGCCTGGGAAAGCAGTCACAATGACCCAAGGCTTGGGACCCTGCACCCACAAGGGAGACCCAGAAGCTCCTGGCTTCAGATCAGCTCAGCTCTGGCCATTGGGATCGCTTGAGGAATGACTCATCAGGTGGAAAATCTTCCTCTCTCTTTGCAATAAAAAAAATAAAATAAATATATATTTTTTTAAAAAACTAGAAACTGTTGACTTATAAACCAAAGCAGTATTAGAGAAAACCAAAATATGTGGATTTGCACATTAACCTTGAAAATCTTAGCATAATGGGGCAGCTGCAAATGCACCAGAACCCAGTAGCAATTTCATGTGGCCAGGTGGAGGCCCTTTCCATTGTTTTGCTTGGGACTCTTGCATTTAAATTTTTTCAGAACCAAACGGTTCAGAGACTGTCCAGTGACCCAGACTCTACGCTAAATTTAAGAGTTCAAAACCTCTTGCTTGGGGGTGTGGAGAAACCACGTGATCTGAAGCATGTAACCCCGTGCTGGGCTCTGTTCTCATTGGTTCAAGTGGAGCTGATCAGGCATAGATTCTGATGTCCTCAGGGGCAATGGACAGAAGTGAATCAGCGCCCTCCTGAGTGGGTGGGTGAAGGGATACCCGTGAATCATTCTCCATGTGGCCAGCTGGGGGCTCCACAGAGCAGCTGCCCTCTGCCCACCCTGTGAAGGTCACCGGTTGGGAAGAGGAGGATTTAGGACCAGAACTGATGAATCTTCTTGCTTTTTCATATGACATCTATTAGTTTTCAAGTTACAAACATTATATATCTATCAACTGAACAAACAGTCCTAGGAATTCAGCTATTGGGGCCTTGGTTTGAAGCCTGTAGTTGAAAGAGCTGAACTTTTCATTGTGATTCTTCTACCACAGTTGTTCTTGACTCTTTCATCCTTTCTCCCCCATTCCTGTGACCCACTTCTTCTGAAGTTGGGCTCTTTGCTAAAAGAACAGTCTAACAATGTGCAGAGTCATGAACATCTGGCCAATGCTAAATTGCCTCGCTTCCTTTTTGAGCACCACTTCAGGATCTTTAGGCAGCTAGGGTGGGGAAAGAGAGTGGGGGGGAGGGGATGGGAACACCACTTCCATTCTTGAGATTTGCAAACCTATGTAAAGACCCATGATGCTTGAATCTCTTTAACCCTAGGATTCATTTTCTGAGATTTCTAGTTATGCTGAAAAAGCCAACAGTTTACAGCAGTTACGTGGGGAAGATGATGCGATGAACTTTTTCCAACCCGGGAATATTCTGTGTTGTGCATGGTCAGCTCAGGACCAATGATCTCCCCACTGAGATGGATACTTCCAGATCTGATGGGAGGCTGAGGCGAAGGGACATTCTGATGGCCAGTATTGATTGTCATTTGATGTTTCAGATTCCTCATTTCACAACACTCAGGGTGCTTGTTTGAGACAGAATAAGTCTTTGATCAGAAAGTGAGGTAATAAAATCTTTGCCTGTAAGTAAGGAAAGAGCAGCCGTGAGTGTGTGGCTTGTCCGGATCCTTGGTAACCTGTCATTTGATATTTTAAGTGAATGCCTGGCCTGGTCACAGAACACACATGTAGTTGTGATTAGCTGCACCTGTAAAAGCGGCTTGGACAGGGTCAGCAAGGCACAGTGCCCATTCTTGGCAGTTCCTGGTGGAGACAAGGATGCCATTCCTACAGTGGGAGGGGTGAAACGGAGGGTGTGTGTGTGTGTGTGTGTGTGTGTGTGTGTGTGTGTGTGTGTTGAGAAGGAGCATGCTGGATTTCAGAGACAATAATGAAGCGATGCATGTTTGGGGCTCCAGTGTTGAAGGTGAATGAATGGAAATGAAATTCCTGGCATTGTTCAGGGTTAGGGTGGAGAGTGGGTTGGCGCTGGGTGAGGTTCTCTCCCAGGCTAGCCAGGGCCATCAGCTTCCTGCTGAGGCGGCCTTTTTCATGTAAGGGATATCCTTAAATTAGTAGCTGCCTCTTGGAGGGTTGAGGATTAAGAAATGTTAATTACATCAGAGGCAGTGCCGAGGTCTTTAGGCATCTTAGCGCATCCCAAAGAGCTTGGGAGGGAGCTGCATTCAGGAGTCCCAAACCTCTTGCCAAACATTATTATATTCATTTGACAGCCATCATTGAATGAAGGCTCAATCAGTGTTTTATTCCATTGCGAGATCATGTGTTATGTTAGAAGTGACTCAGATCATCTGAGGTGAATTTATGGTTGTAGTAACTGCTCTTTCTTCACCATCGTAATTGTACCTCCTTTATTGCTTTCTTTGGATTCTGCGTTCATTAACATATTTGTGCTTCATGACAAT